AAAATAGCTCTTTACCTTGTATTGGTAAAACAAATCCTGGGGCTGGTGTTCCAAGGAGTCTGATAGAGCTCTGGGTAGGACAGACTCCTAGTTCCGTGGACCGTAGTTTAGTGAAGACTGTACAGGACTTCATTAGTGTGCAGCTGCACCTAGCTGGGGGAAGTGTGTGTGTCTCAGTGCAAGGAGAGACAGTGTGCTGAATGCAGCAAGTTCTGTGTTTGGAGCCAAGCCTTTCAGCAGGACAGGGTTCTTTTGGATGGACTGTAACGGTTCCCATAGAGGAAACGGACCCAGCTCAGAGGACTATCGCTATAAATCCTTAATAATAATAATAATAATATATAAAGAAAGAACAACAAACTATTCTGTATCTCCCTGAATCAGCACAGTAAGGCTGTTGTGCCATTCTACTGTGGTGCCTTTAGCCCTTTAGTTGACAGGTCATGCCTCCCATTGTGCAACTCCGGGTGATACCAGCCCCCCTTACCCAAACCATATATTTTCTGAAAGCTAAGGATGTGTAGAATTAAGGATGGTGCTGTTGCTTTTGTACGTTCTATTATAGTTGTGAACATGTTTATCAAAACATATTTTAAAAGGAAATACACAAATCATTATTAAATTATTAAAACAAATGGGACCCTTGGTCCAACATCTGCAGATGCGCTCTTTTGACGCTCGATTACTGACGCTCTGAATCTGAATTGGAGAAAGATTACTCATCCCCTTACCAATGCACCGGGATTGGACCACTCCTACCAGGTCTCATTCCCACCTCTACTCCTCTGCTATACTTTATCCCCCTCTCTATCCTGCTTTTACTCCCTCCTTGACCCTTTTCCCCCCGGCGTAAGGCTGGGGAGGCAGAAGGAATATGTTTGTCCCTCTATGCCCATTTATTTTCACTTTTGTTAGATCTAGCCTACAAGCTGTTACTTAGTTATACTGGATCTTTGGTTTAAAAATGGATTACTGGCTACTGCTAAACACTGGTAACGTCAACATTGCCCCATTGGAAAGAAGTGCCCCTAAGGTAGAAGGTTAAAGAATATCTCAGTTCATACTATGTTAAATTCTACGAATGTATACTTCAGTTGTATTCGAATGCTTCAATGTAATGTAAAAAAATATATATATTTTATTGTAAGAAAAAATAAATTATTAAAACAAAATTTGCAAAATTTCTACTAAACATAAAAGATAAAGCTATATTAGGTAAATTGAAAATATTTATAAATGTACAACTGCATCTTGTACGCATGTATGTAAAGCTGTAAATAAATGACATACACTAAAAACCTTTACTGCCTACTCTATTTAGTGTTATAATAAAATCACCATAAGGCTGGCTTTAAATGATTGCACTGCAGTAATGTGCAGTAATAAGCATGTTTTACCATGCATTAAAGCTACCTATGTTAACGCCCAACAGATTGTAAACTCTCATGAGCAGGGTCCTTCTAATCCTTTTGTATGGTATTGTAGCTGTAAATTGCTGTGCAAACTGTTGGAACTATATAAATCATGTATACCGGTAATAATAATATTACAAATGTACAAGTAATATTGTAACATTTTCATGTTTTAGGCAATAGGGTTCAGTTACTATATTCTTTGCAATATGAATTTTCATTATACAAAATTAATTTTTGCGTAGCTTTGTGATTAAGGTGAAGCTGTGCTGACTTCAATTATCCAATCATGTGCAGGTAAAATTCTTATTTTCCTTGCATAAAATTGGTTGTTCTTTTGAAAAATGAATTTTCACTTAGCTTAGTGAAAGGTTAAATTTAAGTGAAAATTCACTGCTCAAATTGAATATGCTCTACTCCTTTAGAAAATTAACCCAAAGATCACTTGAAACGATATAATTATTACATAAAACTACAAATACCGTAATATGTTTGCATATCGAAAGCAAATTAAGCCAACAGTGGAAGCAGACCAATGGAAAACACAAATAAATCCTATAATCATGTTAACTCTTTTATTATGTGAAACCTCATCTACCAGCCATCGGTGGGTCTATACATTGCAGCAAATCAGCTTTGCCTGAGTCTTTTTATTGTGACTTTAGAGTGGGAATGAAGCATTACAGGGTGTTCTTACTGATAAAAAAGGGGCAGAAAGCATGGTGGGAAAAATGCTGGAAGAGCATTTACAGGACCAAAGGCTGCCAGGTAGAATGTAATGGGGGGCATCCAAGTAATGGATGAGGGTAGAGAACAGCAGCATCTATACAAGCTGCTGAGCATGAAAACCAAGCTAAGAGTTGGGAGCATCAAGGGATGTGGTTATCAGCTCATTAATACATAAGTGGCACGCAGGGGGAACACAAAAAATGCCCAGTCCGCAGTTGCGAGCTAAAATGGAATTTCCAAATTATGAGGTAACCAGTTGAATAAACAGAAGTCCTGTGCAAACAGGTTAAATAGTTCCCAGTATGTCCTTCAGATCCTCATTATTAAAATAAACATGTCAGAAACCTTGGCAATTTAAACTAAGCATATGCTGAAAAAGTATAGGTTACCTTATGTGGAGAAAAACATTACATTGAAGTTATATACAAATGTTACCTTTTCCTGTAAACTAATTTTACAAATTTGGGCATAAAAGCCACTCATCACATTAAAGGACCAACAAATGAACTCGGGAGGCAGGGGGGAGGGTCGAAACTTTTTCATAAAGGGAAACGCATATATTTCAGCTTCCTTTATCAGTGGATCTACTGACTGTTTTGAAATGTAAGTTTTGTTAAGGTAAGGCCCAGTTTTGTGACAAGCTTACTAATACTTAAAATTTTAACTGCTTGGTATTGAAGAAATGTCATACCTTTTTATGTCTAGCAATATATTTACAATATATTAACAGAAATGACAAACTCCTATTGTACAGGACTTATGGGGCATGCCATACTTCCTGCTCCATCAGTCATCAATCACTGAAGAACAACTGAATAGAGTGCTTTTCATATGAATGAGTTTGCCCTAAACCTCAGTGTTTATCAGTCAAAGGTAATCAAGAGCTGGACCTACAGCTCTCAAAGATCAGTCCTATGTTTTTCATTATTATTAGTATGTAGAATTCTGTTTCATAAATACGATGGTCAATAGTTGATATGCACATACTAAAAAGAATTGAACAAGGACATCATGAATTTGCTACTGTTTGCCACTACTCTCCCTTCATCTTCACTACTAGACCAGAAGACCGAAGGATATAGATGCATTTAGTCCTCCAAAAGGTAGTCTTAAATGTTAAAATACTAACAGGCTTTTCTAGTTATAGCACAAGAGGCTGCTGGATAAAAACTCTAGCTTTTCTTTGATTTTATAATCAAACAAGTAACAGTGTAACATTCTGATTGTTCAGTAATAGAATTGCATGTTCAGACTTTCAATTACATTATTTTACACAGTACGCCAGGTATCTTAAACACTTATTGTTAGTTTAATGTGATTGCAGTAGACCTTCAGGCCCAACAAATAGGTGACCAGGGGGAACTACCATGCCCCTGTTCCAGTGATTAGGTTGTTCTGAAGGTGCCATCATAAGCACTTCCTCTTCCAGGTCTTGCCAGGCCAACATATCAGAAGATTTGTAACAGAATTCTATGGAGCTATTGAAGTGATTGTCAAGAATAGGAAATGTTTTACTTGGGACCTTAAGCAGAACTAAATTGTGTGTATCTTCCTGCACTCCTTACTGGATCTCCTAGGAGATGATGTCTGTAATAGGGTGCTTGTAGGCACCGTGTAGTCAAGTAGTAATTCCAAAAGATGTCACCAGCACTCCAAAAGTAGATTCAATATATTTTAATGACAACGGTCATTCAAAATCACAAGTACTTTCGGGGCCACGTTGGGTCCCCGTCATCAGGCTCCTTAAGCAGAATTGACGCCTGGACCAGAGGAATAGCTGCATGTGACACTTGTATTACAGCTCTAGAATATAGAGCATACAATAAATGACTACACTACAACTTTGGGTGAAGAAGTAATCGGTTTGCTTTGAGTCTTTTACTATGTTTCTATACTCAAATGCAGATATTTAGCTAACATTGGAAGACATTAATGGGGTAAAGCCATGGGTGGAACAATCGCCGTAGCAGCCCACACAGCCATGATGGGGCCCAGGGCGGAGGCGGACCCAGTTATGATTAGAAGGGGTGACCAGGATGCCTGTCTGGGTTCACCAGTCCTTGCCTTCCCTGCTTCCATATCATAAATGTTAGTAATAATGCTATGATTTTAACCTAAACAAATATCCTCATAGCAAAAAGTCAAAACATAACAACTACATTTATGCACTTTTGTGTACTATGCTTTCTCTAAGTTGAGTGACAAAGTGGTATACATATACATTTACTGCCTACAGTGGGGTCTAAAACATTTCTTTGTGAGACACATAAGCTTAGATATTCATAGGCCTTTATCATAAGATGCTGTAGCCCAGCTCGGCATATCCAAACGAAAAGGCAATATAAGATAATTTCCTCATTATTACCTCATGACCATAGTCTATATATGCTCCTTGCCAGTGTGGTAGACAAGTGCCAAGTTGTGCAACATGAACTCATTGTAATAAAACTGTTATGACCAGAATTTTGTTGAGCTGTTCAGTTTTAAATATATGACTTGGAAGAAAGTATAAAATACAACTACATATTGCTACTTTTACCAGAAAGTCTATGGCTATTTTTTAATCAACTATATACATGCATTATGATTTGCTAATAAAATAGACACAGTTCCATACCCCACTAATCCAATATACCTCTGCTGATCTGTACCATTTTGCTAAAATGTTATTATCACTAATACAATTTGTAGCATACTGCAGTGTATAGATATACTGCATTATGGGTGTCTGGCAGCAGCTGCTATCAGATAATCCTGACTCTGTCGTTTGTAAGCAATCAGTGCAGTTTATTACATAAAAATCTCTATCTCGGCATAATATTGAATAATTAATCTAATGAAAGAAGTGAGGTTACCTACCTGGACACAGGCACTGTGGTTACTGAGAATATGGATGTAAAATTGAAGTTAGTATTGGTAAAGTGCTCCACATAGTAACCGTCTGCCGCAGAACAGAGAGAGAGAGATTTCACAATGTGATCTCAGCAAGCAAAGTCATGTAGAGAACATCCTGTGTCCTGCCTTCCATAAACTGCATGTTAATCACTGCTGAACCAGTCTGCGAACATTGTAGAATTACCATCAAATCAGGCATTTTTAGCTGTAAGCTTCAGATTATCTGCTTGAACCTTTCAGCCAGCACCATAACCTATGTATGTGGAAATATAAAGCATTTCACTGCAGTGACTGTATGCAGAAAATTCTCCCAGTCACTGCAACCACCCCTTTCAGTCCACCCGGAGACAGTGAAATGAGAGCAGCATACATAATTCAATGCACTAAAATCTTCCTGCACTTCCTGTAGCCATCATTGCAGCCAGTAATGGCATATTGATTGCAAAGACTATGCAGGTTAAGTTTTTTTTTTATTTTTTTAAGCCACCAAAGAAAGCAAACGGTACGTACATGATTTCCAGTGATATTCAACTTTCTGCAAACATAAATTACAATAACATGCTCGGAAGTCTACCATGCCACCTACGTTTTCCCTTTGAAATTGCTGATTCATTCTTTCCTTAGAGCAAAGCCATCTAAGCCTAGTGAGATGTGTTTTGTCATGCAAATTTGTTCTTTTTTATTAGGCTCTAAAATAAACTGAAAACATACACAAGCTTCAAATACAAATATAATGTTTTATGTTTAAATAATAACAACTCTAACTAGGGATGCACCAATACCGTTTTTTCGGTATCGAGTATGAGTACCAATATTTTTTTTTCCGGTACTCTGTACCGAAAGTCCCATTACGGAAGCCAGACGGCGTGAAATGATTTGCCAAACAGCTTCCTGATTAGCCAGGGAGCCTGGTGGTGTGTAATGACTCCCGTCTTCCTGATCAGCTGGGAAGTCCCGACTCCTTGCTCACCTGGTGACGAGGAAGCATGGAGCTAGATTTCTGTCCAATCAGGAAGCCGGAGGGCGGGTAATGACTCGCCACCTGGCCTCCTGATTGGCCAACTTCCCAACCAATCAGGAAGCTGGGTGGGGAGACGTGACGCGGCGCCCGGCTTTCTGATTGGCTGGGAAGCCGGTTCCATGCTACCTCATCACCAGGTGGCGGAAAGCATGGGACAGGATTTCTGATCAATCCGGAAGCTTTACACGGATGGTGACTCATCAGCAAGTGATGAGGGAGCATTGAGCTGGCTTCACGGTCAATCAGGAAGCCGGGGGGGCGAGTCATTACACACCACAAGGCTTCCTGGCTAATCAGGAAGCTGGTCGGCGAATCATTACACGTTTGTAGATGAATTTGAGGTAAACTGGTGGGGCTACACATCAGAGTGTATCTGTCTATTGTCTATTTAAATTACCGTAACTTATACCTTTTTAACTTTTTTAGTATTTAAAAACTTTTTCTAAACATGTTCACATTAGAGGTGAGGAGATTAAGGGGGGATATGATTTCCATGTACAAAATGTTTAATGGTGGTAGCAACATTAGCGATAAACTGTTTAAAATTAACTCCGTTACAAAAACTAGAGGCCATCACCTAAAATTGATGGAAAAAAAATTCCAGCACAAGGGGCGAAGGGGGTTCTTCACAGTAAGATCAGTTAGGGTCTGGAACTCACTGCCACAGGCGGTGATTTCAGCAAATAATGTGGAATTGTTCAAGAAACTTTTGGACGATTTCTTAAGGGACCGTAATATACAGGGGTACGGCTACTCCTAGAATGAGATCCTAATAGGTTGGACTTGATGGACTAATGTCTTTATTCAACCTCAAATACTATGTAACTATGTAACTGATTACTACCTTCTTAATACATTTTAAATACATATTTTGTATTTCCATGCTTTTGTGGGGTATAAACTATGTATTACCGATGTGGCATGGAAGAGAGAGAGAGAGAGAGAGAGAAATACACCAATTCCACTTCTCTATTTTTTCATATTCTCCTCTCCTTTGATTTATTTGCCTCTCATCCTCTTTTAAACTTCTGATGCATCAGTCTATATGCTTTCTTAATTTTACGTAGGGATGCACCGATAGTGTTTTTTGGTATCGAGTACGAGTATCAATATTTTTTTGATACGGTGCACTGATACCAGCATCCCGAGGTAGTATGGGCCCGGCTTCCTGGCCAATCAGAAAGCCGGGCGGTGGGTCATGACCTTCTGCCCGGCTTTCTGATTGGTCAGGAAGCCTGGCTGCCCTGCAGTGACACTGGGCAGCATGAAGCCAGCTTCCCAGCTTATAAGGAAGCCGGGAGGTGACTCATAACCCGCCGCCCGGCTTCCTGATTGCCTGGGAATCCGGCCTTATACTCCTCCACAACACTGCAAGGCAGCCTGGCTTCCTGACCAATCAGGAAGCCGGGCGATGGGTCATGACCTTCTGCCCAGCTTTCTGATTAGTCAGGAAGCCTGGCTGCCCTGCAGTGACACTAGGCAGCATGAAGCCAGCTTCCTAGTCAATAAAGAAGCCGGGAGCTGAACCATAACCTGCCGCCCAGCTTCCTGATTTGCCAGAGAGAATCTCCCTCTGACTGGTAGTTCCAATATCAGGGAAGGAATTGGAGCATCTACCAGTGTCGGTATCGGTGCATTCCTAATTTAAGAGTCACTTTCTTCTCCTTCCTTAATATCAAACTTGCTGCCTGTTCCATACATCTATTAATGTCCTTGACATGCCCTACATATCTTTGTTTTGTTTCTTTCTATTCATCTTTTCTAATAAATGGTTTTGATACATCTTGTGTATTTTTCAATCCAAAAAAGTATAATTAAGGGCAAATCTTCTTT